ATATCAAACTACAATAAACACTTTATTTGTGTATCAAACTACAGTAAATACTTTTATTTCATTTCATTGTGTATAAAACTAGAATAAATAATTTGTCTCAATCTATATTAAATACTTCTATGCGTGCATCAATCCATAATAAATATTTCTATTGTAGTTTGTATATCAAACTACAATAAATACACCTGTACCACTCTATAATAAATATTCCTGTTTGTGTATAATCTATAATAAACAATTCTATGTGTGTATTAATCTATAAATACCTGTATTTGTGTATAATCTATAATAAATACTTCTATGTGTGTATTAATCTATAATAAATACTTCTATGTGGGCATCAATCAATAATAAATACTTTGATTTGTGTATCAAACTACAATATTTCTATTTGTGTATAGTCTGGAATAAATACTTCTATGTGTGTATAATCTATAATAAATACTTCTATGTGTATATTAAGCAGTAAATACCTCTATTTGTGTATCAATCTATAAGAAATATTTCTATGTGTGTATCAATCTATAATAAATACTTCTACTTGTGTATCAAACCACTATATAAATTGTGTATCAAATGACAATACATACTTCTCTGTGTCTATCAAACTACAATAAATATTTCTATTTATGTATCCATCTATAATAAATATTTCTATGTGTGTATCGATCTATAATAAATACTTATATGTGTGCATCAACCTATAAGAACCACTTCTATGTATGTATCAATCTATAATGAATATTTCACTGTGTGTATCAATCTAGAATACTCCTGTGTGGGCATCAAACTGCAATAAATACTTCTGTCTGTGTACCCATCTATGATAACTATTTCTATGTGTGTATCAAACCACAATAAACATTTCTATGTGTGTATCAATCTATAACAAATATCTCAATGTGTGTATCAATCTATAATAAATATTTCTATGTGTGTATCAATTTATAATAAATATTTCTGTGTGTACCAATCTATAATAAATATTTCTATGTGTGTACCAATCTAGAATAAATACTCCAATGTGTGTATCAATCTATAATACTTCTGTGTGTATCAATCTATAAATATTTCTATGTGTGCATCAATCTATAATAAATACTTCTCTGTGTGTATCAATCTATAAATATTTCTATTTGTGTATCAATTTATAATAAATATTTCTGTGTGTACCAATCTATAATAAATATTTCTATGTGTGTACCAATCTATATTTCTATGTGTACCAATCTATAATAAATACTTCTATGTGTGTACCAACCTATAATAAATAATTCTGTGTGTGTATCAATCTATAATAAATACTTCTGTGTGTGTATCGATCCATAATAAAAACTTCTATGTGTGCATCAAACTATAATAAATATTTCTATGTGTGTACCAATCTATAATAAATACTTCTGTGTGTGTATTGATCTATAATAAATATTTCTGTGTGTGTACCAATCTATAATAAATATTTCTATGTGTGTACAAATTTGTAATAACTATTTCTGTGTGTACCAATCTATAATAAATACTTGTATGTGTGTATCAATCTATAATAAATACTTCTGTGTGTGTATCAATCTATAATAAATACTTCTGTGTGTATCGATCAATAATAAATACTTCTATGTGTGCATTAAACTATAATAAATATTTCTAAGTGTGTACCAATCTATAATAAATATTTCTATGTATGTTCCAATCTGTAATAAATATTTCTGTGTGTACCAATCTATAATAAATATTTCTATGTGTGTACCAATCTATTAGAAATACTTCTGTGTCTGTATTGATCTATAATAAGTATTTCTCTGTGTACCAATCTATAATAAATAAATGTGTGTGTGTATCAATCTATAACAAATACTTCTCTGTGTGTATCGATCAATAATAAATAGTTTTATGTGTGCATCAAACTATAATAAATATTTCTATGTGTGTATCAATCTATAATAAATACTTCTCTGTATGTATCGATCCATAATAAATACTTGTATGTGTGCATCAGACTGTAATAAATACTTCTATGTGTGTACCAATCTTTTAGAAATACTTCTATCTGTGTACCAATTTGTACTAAATATTTCTTTTTGTACCAATCTATAATAAATATTTCTATGTGTGTACCAATCTATAATAAATACGTCTGTGTGTGTATTGATCTATAAGTATTTCTCTGTGTGTACCAATCTATAATAAATATTTTTGTACTAAATATTTGTGTGTACCAATCTATAATAAGTATTTCTATGTGTACCAATCTATAATAAATAATTCTGTGTGTGTATCAATCTATAATAAATACTTCAGTGTGTGTATCGATCCATAATAAGTGTGTGCATCAAACTATAATAAATATTTCTGTGTGTACCAATCTGTAATAAATATTTCTATGTGTGTTCCAATTTGTAATAAATATTTCTGTGTGTACCAATCTATAATAAATATTTCTCTGTGTGTATCAATCTATAATAAATACTTCTATGTGTGTACCAATCTATAATAATTACTTCTGTGTGTGTACCAATCTATAATAAGTATTTCTCTGTGTGTATAGATCCATAATAAATACTTCTATGTGTGCATCAAACTATAATAAATATTTCTCTGTGTGTACCAATCTATAATAAATATTTCTATGTGTGTACAAATTTGTAATAAATATTTCTGTGTGTACCAATCTATAATAAATACTTGTATGTGTGTACCAATCTATAATAAATACTTCTGTGTGTGTATCAATCTATAATAAATACTTCTGTGTGTGTATCGATCCATAATAAATACTTCTATGTGTGCATCAAACTATAATAAATATTTCTATGTGTGTACCAATCTATAATAAATACTTCTCTGTGTGTATCGATCCATAATAAATACTTCTATGTGTGCATCAATCTATAATAAATATTTGTATGTGTGTACCAATCTATTAGAAATACTTCTCTGTGTGTTTTGATCTATAAGTATTTCTCTGTGTGTACTAATATATAATAAATAAATATGTGTGTGTATTAATCTATAATAAATACTTCTCTGTGTGTATCGATCCATAATAAATACTTCTATGTGTGCATCAAAAAAAAAAAAAAATCCTATGTGTGTACCAATCTATAATAAATATTTCTATGTGTACCAATCTATAATAAATATTTCTATGTGTGTACTAATCTATTAGAAATACTTCTGTGTGTGTATTGATCTATAATAAGTATTTCTCTGTGTGTACCAATCTAAAATAAATAAATATGTGTGTGTATCAATCTATTAGAAATACTTCTCTGTGTGTATTGATCTATAATAAGTATTTCTCTGTGTGTACCAATCTATAATAAATAAATATGTGTGTGTATCAATCTATAATAAATACTTCTGTGTGTGTATCGATCAATAATAAATACTTCTATGTCTGCATCAAACTATAATAAATATTTCTATGTGTGTAACAATCTATAATAAATATTTCTATGTGTACCAATCTATAATAAATAATTCTGTGTGTGTATCAATCTATAATAAATACTTCAGTGTGCGTATCGATCCATAATAAGTGTGTGCATCAAACTATAATAAATATTTCTATGTGTGTACCAATCTATAATAAATATTTCTGTGTGTACCAATCTATAATAAATATTTCTGTGTGTGTACCTGTCTATAGTAACTATTTCTATGTGTGTATCGATCTATAACACTGCGAGTTGTGTGTCACACGGCAGTGTTTGCCATCAGTCAGTAAGAATAACTCCACTGCAGCACTCACCGTTGTCTGGCCCCTGGAGTTTCATGGAGTACAGCTTGACAGGCTGGCTGAAAGCTACAGTGATGAGCAGCTGTGGAGGGAACAGGCACAGTTACACACACAGCAATCCCGAGCTGTGCCACCACCCTGGCAGTGCTGCTGTGGGAGAACACCCCAGGACCACAGCAATCCCTGCAGGAGAACACCCCAGGAATGCAGCAATCCCTGCAGGAGAACACCCCAGGAATGCAGCAATCCCTGGAGGAGAACACCCCAGGAATGCAGCAATCCCTGGAGCTGTGCAGCACACCTGCTCGTCGCAGTCGGACTCCAGGTAGGAGGAGTCCTTGCGCAGGCAGTTCTCGAAGCCGTGCTCGTCGCTCTCGTTGAGGCACTCGCAGCCAGCCTTGTTGATGAAGGGCAGCAGATCCATCTGGGGACAGAGAGCACAGCTGCTCACAGCTGGGACAGCACAAAATTCATTTCACTGACTAGGAACGTTCTTCATTCTTAATAACCATGTATATGTCAATATTTACATTTTTTTCTGGAAAAGAAAGCCCAGACAAATTATTTTCTTGGGCAGCTTTGCCTAAAATCCAATTACTTGACTTCGAGAACATTTGAAAACCACGAGCACTCCAATAAAGCTCTGAGGAGATACTCACGTATCCTTTGGGAATGTCTGTGTCTTCGCTGTTGCCGGGATCGTTCTCCAGGTGCTGTTTGATTTTGTCTTCCAGGCCCACGGCATCTGCTCCCTGGTACTGGTCGATGCGCACCTTGTTGCGGAAGAACAGGAAGGTGGGTGTTGCCGAGATGTTGTTGGTGGCAGCCGTGCCCTGGGAGCAGACACCAGACCCCATTCAGAGCTTTAGGTCAGTCCCACTGCACCACCAATGAATCCACTTCTTCACGTTTGCCTTTAATTCCCACTAGCTAAACCCACCAATAAATGCACATACCCATGTTTGCCTCTACCTCCCACTAGTGCTGTGTTTGATGGCTAAAATACTATTTTAGCAGGGGCTGAGAACCAACAAATCAATGAATTACTGTGCTTTCACACTGCTCAAAGGAAGGGCAGCACAGTGGCACTGCAGGAAATTTCCTCCTGGGAGGGGTTTGTTTTCCCAGTTTGGGAGAAGTCACTGTCACAGCTCCTGTGACAGGGACACTGCTGGAGCCTTTCCCAGCTCCCTGTTCCCTGGTTCTCCTTTCCCATCCTGCTCCAGCCCCACCCTGCAGCCCACACCTGGCACTGGTGCACGTCCACCTCCAGGAACGTTGCCTGCGGGTATTTGTTACTCAGGGCGCTGAAGGCGGGCGCGATCCGCAGGCAAGGGCCGCACCTGTGGGAAAAGTGACATTTCCACTTAATTCCACTTTTGGTTCCTTTTTCGGTGCCTGCCCCAAACGGAACCAGAACGTTCCTCTCTTCCTGCTGTAAAAACAGCCTCTCTACCTGCAGCCAGCTGGGGATACAATGCAAGGTGACATTTGGGAATCTGCAATTTATTGCCTTTATTTGCAGCATTTTTACCACAGACCTGCTCAACAAAGTGTGGCAAAGGAGGGAAAAATCAGCACAAAAAACCGGTATCATTAGTTCATGCCACCTCCTGGAAAAAAAAATTATATTCACACATAACTTTAATGGTCAACATGTACCAAAGCTTCAGGGATCATAAAATTGTTCCCACAATAAATCTCATTTACACCTCTAACCAGTTATTCTCATATTTATTTGGTCCTGGGAGGACATAGCTGGTTTCTTTTCATTTATTTGCATTGCCTCATATGAAAATGTGTATTTTTTACTTTTTCTGCATCAGCAAAAATGTATGAAGTGCTCAGCTGCACCAATTCCTGTAAAGGGAGTTTCTCACTGGGAAAGGGAAAAGAAAAGTGAAATAAAAAACCCCGACATAGAAATTGGCAAAAAAACCCCCACAACTAAGAGGCAGCAGCCAAAAAAATAATGAGGTGCCCTATGAACCCCTAAACCCCCGGGATTATCACTATTCCCCCCAATTTCACAGATTAAAGGGAATGATTCAGATAGGCAGGTTCATTTGGTGACAAATTCATCCCGATTTCACCACTGCTGCACCTCCCTGCTGAGGAGGGAAAAGAGAAAATCCACTTATCCTGGGCAAATGGGGTACGGATGCAGCCAAGTTTTATGGGGCAAAAGGTGTTTTTCCAAGTTTTAAGGTGTTTTTAGTGCTTCCATCATTTTCGTGCCCTTTAAGGGGCTGTACGCCAGCGCAGCCCCTGCTCCCTCAGAGCACCGGAGGGATGGCGGGGCGCGGGCGGGGGCTCGGCGGGAAGAACGGGAATTTATTCTTGGAGCTGGGAACGGGGTGTTACAAACCACACAACTTCTAAAGGCGGCGATGCCGAGACCGCCCGCGCCGGGGAACCCCAATAAAAGCTCGGGAACGGCGGAGCCCTTTCCGGGAGCCTGAGCCGCACGCCGCCCTCACTCACCCCCTCATGGTGAACTTCACCACGGCCAGGCGGGAGCCGGCGGCGCTCAGCTCGGGCTGGAACTCGGTGTCGTTGGCGATTACCTTGACGCCCGCCATGGCCTCGGGCCCGGTGGCGGTGCCGGGTGCGATGTGCAGCGTCACGGCGGGCAGGCCGCCCGGCATGCACCGCTGGGGCCGCATGGGCGCAGGCGCGGCCGCTCCGCTCCCGCCCGCCGCCGCCATCGTGGGGACGGGCAGGCCGTGAGGGCGCGACGCCTCCCGGTGGCCATTTTGGAAACGGGCACACCGTGAGGGCGCGACGCCCCCCGGTGGCCATTTTGGGAACGGGCACACCGTGAGGGCGTGACGCCCCCCGGTGGCCATTTTGGAAACGGGCATACCGTGAGGGCGCGACGCCCCCCTGCGGCCATTTTGGAAACGGGCACACCGTGAGGGCGCGACGCCCCCCGGTGGCCATTTTGGAAACGGGCACACCGTGAGGGCGCGACGCCCCCCGGTGGCCATTTTGGAAACGGGCATACCGTGAGGGCGCGACGCCCCCCGGTGGCCATTTTGGGAACGGGCACACCGTGAGGGCGCGACGCCCCCCGGTGGCCATTTTGGAAACGGGCACACCGTGAGGGCGCGACGCCCTCCGGTGGCCATTTTGGAAACGGGCATACCGTGAGGGCGCGACGCCCCCCGGTGGCCATTTTGGGAACGGGCAAGCGCAGGAATTCTCTGAGGCGAGATGCGCCTTTAGATTTTAACATAAAAATTTAGTAATGGTTTCGTCATAAATTCGTTTTTTGATGACGCCAAAAGGGGTAAATAAAAGATGAGTGCTTGTAATAACTACAAAATAAAACCAAAATGAAACCCGGGACTTTCTCTGACTCCATTTGCAGCGTCATTCCTGACAATTTCCCAACGTACTTTATAACACAACATAGCAGTCTCATATTTCCGCTTTTCCCACCAAAGACCATTCCGCTCCCGCCTGTTGCAATTCAAAATCCTTGCAGCAATCGGTAATTAATTATGAATTAAGTCACCACGCAATCACCGGCCCCTCAGCGACCTCAGCAGTTTCCACGGCGGCGGCGCTGCCGTCAAGCGTGCGGGCCGCAGCTTTGCGGCAGTGTCGCGGTGCGCGGTGGCACCCGGCCGCTGCCGCAGCGAGCGCGGCGGGGCACGGGAGGGCCGGGAAGGGACCGGGACCGGCACCGGGACAGGGACCGGCACCGGCACCGGCACCGGACAGGTGCGACCTGGGGCGGGGAACGGCTCGTTCCCAGCGGGAGCGGTAGGCGAGCCCGCGGCGGGCCCCGCAGCACCCGTGAGAGGCTGCGGCACCGGGAGGCGCGGGGACACACACCGGGACACCGGGACGCGCCGGTAACGGAGCAGGGTTGGGTTTGGGATCCCGGTAACGCTCACGCATTTTGTGCTCTGCTGCCTTTGTGTTCCCGTTGTGCTCTTCCTCCCTCGGTGCTCCCTTGCTCCATCCCGAAGTCTAAGCTGCCATTGCATTTAAAGTCATTAGATTTTTCTAAAATGTACAAATAGCCCATATATTAAACTATTTAACGCTATTTAGTACTAATTATTGGTATTTTGGGGGCAGATTATTGCAGTGTGCACGCACATCCTGAGATTAATTCCTTCCTCAAGGGAAGAGTTACTGAGGTGGGCTCACTTTTGTTTCGCCTCTTCCTCTCAGGGGTTTGTTCTGTTTGCGCTTTTCTGGCTGTAAAAATCCATGGTGATGGTTTCTGGGTAGGGGGATTTCTAAAAAGGGGTTTAGTTGAGTTGTGGATTCAGATTTTAATTCCTTGTACTTGAAAAATCACTTTAGTGGCTTTACTGAAATAGGAATTGATCCGGGATTATTCAGTGTGCCTAAGTCCCACCTTCAAGCAGAGCAGTCACTGGATTATTCTGTCAGGTTAACACATTATTTAACTTTTCAGTTTGTTTTATTCATTTCCTCATTGAAATAATTGCTTTCTGTTGAAATATTTTAAAAATGATGGTTTTGGGAAGGTGTTTTTTCCACATCCCTGCATTTGTTCTGTCGTGCGTTCCTGCATTTATTTAGTGTCTAAGATTAGAATTATTTCTATATGATTATTATTTGCAAGGTTTTATGTTAGGAAATGTAAAGTGAAGGCAGTAAGCACAAGGATAGGTGCACATGTACTGTGTTTGGGGATGAAAATCAAGGTTTTGGCACTTGTGGCTAGAGAGAAATTCCTTTCCTGCAGGGATGAGGAAGAGCTGTACTTGTGATTTCCGTTGGCAATTCCCAAATTCCCTTTTCTGTAGGAAACAGGATTTGGGGCACTTGGGAATGGCTGCAAGGGGGCAGCGTTGATTCGCTCCTCTACTTGGTCAGCACTGATGTCAAAAAATGGAATTATTGATTGTTTTCAGACAAAAAGGGATTTTGGTGCTGGCAGGGGCTGCACTTGGTGTTTGCTGGGGTTGAGCTCTGGAATCCAAAATCCTGGGGAATTAAAAATGTGGTTTTTCCTAAAGAGGAAGTTTTTTATGAAGGCCTTGCGCTGCCGCAGTCAAAGACTGGAAGGAAAAAGGTAGTTTTTCATCTCTCCCAGAGCCTTGCTATAAAATACTCTATATAACTGTGGCTGTCAAGGGGTTGCTAATGTGTTTTCTGCATGGGAAATCTGGAATCTCTTAGGATAGTTCTGTGCTAATGCTCTTGTATGTTGTAGTATTTTTGAAAATTCCCTTTATTCAGAGTGCTGTGGGTTTGGAAGTGTTCAGGAGTGGCTTTAAATGCAGAATTCTGTGCCCCAGGAGGGGATTTCCTGGATTTATTACAGAAGGCAGCTGTTTGACAGCCAGGTGACACAGGAACACTGTGACTGTCCCCTGAACAGTAGGGCAGCACAGGAGTGGGGAGGGATTTTTGTGTTGCTTTTTGGTGGTTTTCAGCTCTGCTTGAGTCATTTGTAGTTTGTTTTCCTCACAAAAATTGAGTAGGTATTTCTGTTTGCTGTGGGTGTTTTTTGTTCTAGTTATTGATATTTGCATTTTGTTCTGTTGCATCTGGACACTTTATTCCTGCCTTTATTCCATTTTTATTACGATTTCCCTGCAAATTAAGCCTGGTTTAATTGTAGCTCTTTGTTTGTCACCCTGTTGTTTAAAATGCTGAATTAATTTCTCTTTCTGTGTTGTGATGGTCCAGACAGAGCAATTGATCCAGCATTGCATAACAATTAACTCTGCAGGGCCAGGTGTGGTTTGCAGTGTGGAGAAGGACTGGATTTTTGGGCTTTATTGATCCTGATCATTACATTCCAGCTCTTAATTAAGTAGCTTTTAATGAAGGTGGGCCAGAAATGAGCTGCTTCACTGGGAGGGGTCAGTGGATGTGATATTAGTGATTTTGTGATTTGGATTTCGTGCAAACCCCCAATTGATCCCTGCCTTGCCAGGAGCCTCCTGTGTGTAATCCTTAGCCATTCATTACCCTGCCCTTGCTCCCTCCCTTCCCCCTTTTTTCCACGGACACAGCGTGTTCCAGTTCTCTCATCACATGGAGTAACAACTCCTATGGTTTTCCCCGGATAGGAAATGACAAGATAATCCACAAGGAGTGTTTGGTTGTTAATTTAACATAACCTTTCCACCGATAAGAAACCCTCAGTTCTAAAAGCAGGGAAGTGCTCAGCAAGCTGGGAATGTTGCTACCACAAACAGAGGGTTGTTGTGGGGTTTAAATCTTGTGCAAATTCAAGTGGGTTTTATTGCCACAACTTGAGTTTCTATTCCCAGTCACTGAGGCCGTTTTGGCCTGGGGACAATTGAAATTCCACTGTGTTTTTCATGTCAATACGTTTGGAAGATACGAAATGTTGCTGTAAAGATGGTGTTGGACCTATTTCCTGCTGGAGAGTGGCCAGGATCCACTTTATCAGTGGATTATACAAGGCTGATTTCACCTAAGGCAGGATATTCCATATTCCAACATGAAAGTCTGTGTGGCAGGGACATAACAACATCAGGGATATAAAACATGCCTCAGCCTCAAGCCTTAAAACATTTGTAACTTCAAAATTACTCTAAAAAGAGGCATTTAGACAAAAATCCTTGTGTGCACAGGGATGTGCTGTTTGGCCCCCACCTTTTACTCCCCTCCCTCTTGGTTTGAAGGATAATATTTTGGATTTTGGGAGACTGCAGCCTTCCCCCCAACCCCCATAATGTAAATAAACAGCATCATTGGCTCATACCTGGGGGGCCATGTCTGTCTGTCCATCCGTCTGCTGCATCCTGGGATCGCCCAAACGTGAGGGGAAAATGTTGGGAAACGTGAGGGGAAAAGGGCAGGAAACATGAGGCGAAAAGATAGCGAAAACATGAGGGGAAAAGATGGCAAAAAAATGAGGTAAAAGAGCAGGAAACATGAGGGGGAAAGTGGGAAACATGAGGGGGAAAGATGGCAAAAACCTGAGGGGAAAACGGCAGGAAACATGAGGGGAAAAGGTGGCAAAAATATGAGTAAAAAAGGGCAGGAAACATGAGGGGAAGAGTGGGAAACATGAGGGGGAAAGGTGGCAAAAACATGAGGGGAAAGGAAAAGGAAACATCAGGGAAAAGGTGACAAAAAAATGAGGGGAAAAAGGACAGGAAACATGAAGGGAAGAGTGGGAAACATGAGGGGAAAAGATGGCAAAAACCTGAGGGGAAAAGAGAAGGAAACATGAGAGGAAAAGATGGCAAAAACATGAGGTGAAAAGAGAAGGAAACATGAGCGGAAAAGATGGCAAAAACCTGAGGGGAAAAGAGAAGGAAACATGAGAGGAAAAGATGGCAGAAACATGAGGTGAAAAGAGAAGGAAACATGAGGGCAAAAAGGTGGCAAAAACATGAGTATAAAAGGGCAGGAAACATGAGGGGAAGAGGGGGGAAAGTTGAGGGGAAAACATGAGGGAAAAGAGCAGGAACATGAGGGGAAAAGATAGCAAAACCATGAGGGGAAAAGATAGCAAAAAATGAGTAAAAAAGGGCAGGAGATATGAGGGGAAAAGATGGCAAAAACATGAGGGAAAAGAGATGGAAACATGAGGGGAAAAGGTGGCAAAATATGAGTAAAAAAGGGCAGGAAACATGAGGGGGAAAGATAAGCAAAAACATGAGGGAAAATGTTAGCAAAAACATGAGGGGAAAAAAAAGGCAATAACATGAGGGGATAAGATGGCAAAAGCATGAGGGAAAAGAGCTGGAAATGAGAGGAAAGGAGCAAAAACATGAGGGGGAAAAGATGGCAAAAAGAGGAGGGAAAAGAGCAGGAGACATGAGGGGAAAAGAGAAGGGAAAATTAGGAGAAAAGGTGGCAAAAAGACGAGTAAAAAAGGGCAGGAAACATGAGGGAAAGAGTGGGAAACATGAGGGGAAAAATAGCAAAAACATGAGGGAAAAGGGTGGGAAGTGTGAGGGGGAAAATAGCAAAAATGTGAGGGGGAATACATGGCAAAAGCATGAGAGAAAAGAGCAGGAAACGAGGGGAAAAGATGGCAGAAACATGAGTGGAAAAGAGAAGGAAATACCAGGGGGAAAAGTGTCAAAAACATGAGGGGAAAGGAGCGGGAAACTTAAAGGGGGAAAGCACAGGATACCTGAGGGGAAAAGGGCGGGAAACCTGAGGGGAAAAGGTGGCAAAAACACGAGTAAAAAAGGTCAGGAAACCTGAGTGGAAAAGGGCAGGATACCTGAGGCGAAAAGCGCAGGATACCTGAGGGGAAAAGGGTGGGATACCTGAGGGGAAAAGGGCGAGAAACCTGAGGGGAAAAGGGCAGGAATCCTGAGGGGAAAAGCGCAGGATACCTGAGGGGAAAAGGTGGCAAAAACACGAGTAAAAAAGGGCAGGAAACCTGAGTGGAAAAGGGCAGGATACCTGAGGGGAAAAGCGCAGGATACATGAGGGGAAAAGGGCGGGATACCTGAGGGGAAAAGGGCGGGATACCTGAGGGGAAAAGGGCAGGAAACCTGAGGGGAAAAGGGCGGGAATCCTGAGGGGGAAAGCGCAGGATACCTGAGGGGAAAAGGGCGGGAAACCTGAGGGGAAAAGGTGGCAAAAACACGAGTAAAAAAGGTCAGGAAACCTGAGTGGAAAAGGGCAGGATACCTGAGGCGAAAATTACAGGAAACCTGAGGGGAAAAGGGGCGGGAATCCTAAGGGGAAAGGGGCGGGGAATCTGAGGGGAAAAGGGCGGGAATCCTGAGGGGAAAGGGTAGGAATCCTGAGGGGAAAAGGGCGGGAATCCTGAGGGGAAAGGGGCGGGAATCCTGAGGGGAAAAGGGGCGGGATACCTGAGGGGAAAAGCTCAGGATACCTGAGGGGGAAAGTGTGGGAATCCTGAGGGGGAAAGAGCAGGAATCCTGAGGGGAAAAGGGCGGGATACCTGAGGGGAAAAGGGCGGGAAACCTGAGGGGAAAAGGGTGGGAAACCTGAGGGGAAAAGGGTGGGAAACCTGAGGGGAAAGGAGCAGGAAACCTGAGGGGAAAAGAACAAGAAACATGAGGGGGAAAGATGGCAAAAACATGAGGAGAAAAGGTGGCAGAAACATGAGTGGAAAAGAGAAGGAAATACCAGGGGAAAAGGTGTCAAAAACATGAGGGGAAAGGAGCGGGAAACCTGAGGGGGAAAGCGCAGGATACCTGAGGGGAAAAGGGCAGGATACCTGAGGGGAAAAGGGCGGGAATCCTGAGGGAAAAAGAGCAGGAAACCTGAGGGGAAAAGGTGGCAAAAACACGAGTAAAAAAGGGCAGGAAACCTGAGTGGAAAAGGGCAGGATACCTGAGGGGAAAAGCGCAGGATACATGAGGGGAAAAGGGCGGGATACCTGAGGGAAAAAGCACAGGAATCCTGAGGGGGAAAGTGCGGGAATCCTGAGGGGGAAAGAGCAGGAATCCTGAGGGGGAAAGAGCAGGATACCTGAGGGGAAAAGGGCAGTACACCTCAGGGGAAAAGTACAGGAAACCTGAGGGGAAAAGGGGCGGGAATCCTAAGGGGAAAGGGGCGGGGAATCTGAGGGGAAAAGGGCAGGACACCTCAGGGGAAAAGGGCGGGAAACCTGAGGGGAAAAGGGGCGGGAATCCTAAGGGGAAAGGGGTGGGGAATCTGAGGGGAAAAGGGCGGGAATCCTGAGTGGAAAAGGGCAGAAAACCTGAGTGGAAAAGGGCGGGAAACCTGAGGGGAAAAGGGCGGGAATCCTGAGTGGAAAAGGGCAGAAAACCTGAGTGGAAAAGGGCGGGAAACCTGAGGGGAAAAGGGCAGGATACCTGAGGGAACAAAGTGGTAGAGACAGGAGGGGACAAGATGGTAGAGTTGTGAGGGGAAAAGAGGACAGGAGCACGAGGGAAGGGAGCTGCCCGCCGTCGCTGATGTTGCCTCGCTTTTGGAATTGCAGGCGCTCAGCGGCCATGGCCGGGAACAGCCTGGTGCTGCCCATCGTGCTGTGGGGCCGGCGTGCCCCCACCCACTGCGTGTCCTCCCTGCTGCTCGTGGATGGCTCTGTCATCGTCACCGGCTGCCACGACGGGCAGATCTGCCTCTGGGACCTGGGGCCTGACCTGCAGGTAGTGCATGCACAGTTCACCTGGCAGTGCCCCTCGGCCTGTCCTCCCTTCCCATGGCGCTGCCAAGGGTTACAAAGAGCTGTTTGGCTCTTGGCCTTCCTTGCTGCTCCTGTAGGAAGCTTTTTTAACTCATTCCAGTTTCTTGGAGCTGCTCTAAACCAGTTGCTTTTTAGTTGAGCTGCTTCATATTGTGTTGTGAAAAGGAGTTCCTTCCCAATATCCTATCTGGCAGTGGTAAGCCATTCCCCCTTTTCCTGGCTCCATTCCCTGTCCCAAGTCCCTCTCCAGCTCTCTTGGAGCTCCTTTTGGCACTGGAAGGGACTCTGAGGTCTCCCCTGATTTGTGAATATACAGGAACTCAGCTGGGGAAAACTCTTTGATGTGCAGGACAATCCTTTTCATTCATTTGTGTGTGCACATATTAATGGATGTATAATACATGAAGTAAACAGCTGGGATATGGGTATTCTGGTCATTTGTGTGATTTTGACTCCCTGTTTTCTTTCCCTGCTCCCAGATCAATCCCAGAGCTCTGCTCTTTGGTCATACAGCCTCAGTTACTTGTTTATCCAAGGCCTCAGCTTCCAGTGAAAAGCAATATATAGTGAGTGCATCAGAGAGTGGGTGAGTTTCTGAGTGTTTGTTATATGCAGAACTGCAATAACGGGAATTTGTGCCCAGTTTATCCATATATTCAACACTGTGTTTAATTTTTACCCTCAAGAGAAAATTCCTCAGCAAATACATTTTATTTTTTGATTGGTTTTATTTATTAGTCATAGAGCAGCAGTTAAGTGGTAGAAGAAGGAAGGATTTCTTGTGCAATTGATATCCAAATAGATAGAGATTTTTTAATCCAGAAAAGCTAAGGAATGATTTGCCTAAATAACCTTTTAACAAGGAATTTGAGGGCAGAATGTGTCAAAATTTAGAATTTCCACCTTGGGCTGATTTCAGGGCTAAGTAATCTCCTCCCATCAGATTTAAAACCGAACTATGTTTTCCTCAGGAATTTATCTGTCTGATGGAAAGGAGAAAGCACCTCACAGATTTTGTTCTGATTAAATTTGAATATGAAGTTTTCAATGAAGAAGTGCTGTAATAGCTGCAGGTTCTGTAATTTATCCTCACAGGGAACAGGAGGTTGTGTGGATTTAGGCGGACTGGAAGGTCCAGTTGATTTTGAGTTTCTCCAAATACAATCGGCCTAATCCCTAATAACCTGAGGGCAAAATGGTTCAAGCGGGGTTCCTCCCTGGAAGCCTGGCCTGTTTTCCACGTGGTTTCCCTGTGTTTTAGGGAGATGTGCCTGTGGGATGTGAACGATGGGAGGTGCATCGAGTTCACCAAGCTGGCCTGTGCTCACACGGGCATCCAGGTGAGCGCTGGGAGCGATGGCAGGGCGGGAAGCGTCCCTGCAGGCAGCAGGATGGCTTGGGGAGCACACCCAGCTCCAGAATGAAGCATCCCTGTCCTGCACAACTCTGATTGATGTTTGTTCCCATCCCTGCAGTTCTATCAGTTCACAGTCGGCACGCAGCGGGAAGGGAGACTCCTGTGCCACGGGCATTATCCCGAAATTCTGGTGGTGGATGCGACCAGCCTGGAGGTTCTTTACTCTCTGATATCCAAGATCTCTCCTGACTGGATCAGCTCCATGACCATCATCCGGTCCAACAGGACACAAGGTGATTATTTCTTGTGGCAGGGACACCTCCCACTGTTCCAGGCTGCTCCAAGCCCTGGCCTGCCTCAGCTGGCACGGGCTGGAGTGTCACCTGAGCACAGACCAGGTTGGTTCTGCTCATTGGTGTTAATTTGGTGGGCTTTAATTCTGGCAGACGAGTGTCTTGTTGGGGTGTTCCTGGTGTGGAGACTGGAATTCCTGAGAGGTTTGGGGAACACTGAGGAGAAAATCCGGACCAAAGGACTTCTCTCTTGAGTTAAGGCTCAGCAACAGTTGTAAACTGGCCATTCCCAAAATCCTGGGGTGGGAAAGCTCAGCTGTTATCCCCACAACAAATAAATTGCTGGAAGAACTGGAAATGGGCTCTGCTATGAAGGGTTTCCTGCTAATGCCTTTCATTTATTCCTTGTTCCATCTTCACAAATAAACATTCCACTGGGAAGCAGATGCTCCAGGAATGCTTGGATCAGGTTTTCGTTTGTGCTCAGATGTGCCCAGGTGAGTAGCTCTTTGTGCCTCAGGCTCATTTTGTGTTTCCCAGAGGACACTGTCGTGGCTGTGTCTGTGACTGGCATCCTGAAAGTCTGGATCATCACCTCAGAAGTCAGTCGGATGCAGGTAGGCACTGGCTGCTGGATTAGTGGCACTTCCTGGTGGGATGCAGTGGAAAATCAATTTACTGTGCTGCTGGAGGCTCAGGTGCCCAGAGGGGACTCCTGCAGTCCTGCTCAGGAGGAGGCAGGAATAAAACTGCTCCGAGGGTTTGGCTGTGCACAGAATCAGCCGTGTGGCACTGCCGTGGGCCTGGCACAGGGAGGAGTTGGTGAGCTCTGGCTCTCTTTGTTTCAGGACACCACGCCCGTGTTCGAGGAGGAGTCCAAGCCCATCTACTGCCAGAACTGCCAGAGCATTTCCTTCTGCGCCTTCACGCAGCGCTCGCTCCTGGTCGTGTGCTCCAAGTACTGGAGGGTAAGCACAGCTCCCGCCCTTCTCCCCTGAACCTCCACTGAACTGCATGGAAACATCCAGGTGAAGGTGCTCCGAGTCTCTTCATGTCCCTCTGCTGTGTGTTTGATGTATTTCTGGGTATGTAATCCAAATCTCTGCCCGCAGTGCAGGTTTGGAACGAGGTGGCCCTTAAGGCTTCTAACACCCCAAACCGTTCCACGATTCTGTGGTACTAAACCCAAAACCAGCTGCTGTCCGGTGTGGAATTAATTGGTTAATAACAACAGATTTTGTTCCTGTTTCCTCTCAGGTCTTTGATGCTGGAGATTATTCCCTCTTATGTTCAGT